CTGCCAAAAGGTTGCTGATTGGGCTGATACTGAGGTCTGTCCCTTTGAAGAAATGCTCCCATCAAATGGTCTTAAAAGAAAGAAAATATCTGACAGGTCTGATAAGCCAAGTAGGTCTTTAAAGGAAAAAAAGGGGGAAGGGGGGTAGGTGGGGAATTTTTTCTGCCTTTTTAAAACGTGCCCTTTAAGAATACTTGCCAGAAATTAAAACAGTCGGAAACCTAAAGCAATCTCATCTTCACTCACAATAAATTTTTCATTATAGATTAAAAAGACCTTTGGCAGCACAAATGAGCAAATATATCCAAGTGGGTTAGAGGCCTAAGGAAGAAAACATCTTCGCATAACCCAGAAATTGCCAAGATCTCAGCCTTTAGGATACTCTACTTCCTTACTTTTCAGTCAAAACATCCCCTCCCCCACTTTTTTTGAAGGAAGCCACTAGAGCCAGAAGGAATACTGTGAACAGCCTGCACTAATTCAAACATTTATTAAGTGCCTATTTTTGCAAAGCACTGTACTAGGGATTAGGAGAGATACCTAGATAAATAGAGAGCCCTAACCCTCACTGAAAAATAATAACATAATTAGAATATGATGAGTAAAGAAAAGAAATAGCTAGCTGGCACTGTATATTAAGTGTGCTTGGGCATCAGAAGACCTGAGTTCAAATCCTACCTTAGGCAATTATCAGTTGTGCGGTAGGCAAGTCACTCAACTTTCTTCAGCCTCAGTTTTCTCATTTTTAAAATGTGAGGGTTAGACTCAATGACCTATCTCTAAGGTCACTTTTAGCTCTAAATCTACAACGTTATGGAAAGGAAAATAAAATGCTCTATTTGTTCTTTGGTTGTTTCGGTCATGTCTGACTCTTCACGACCCCAGTGAAATGAAGTGATTTGCCATTTCCTTCTCCAGTTCATTTTATACATGAGGAAACTGAGGCATCTTATCAACTGTTTATTGACTACCCACTAGATACAAAGCACTGTAGGCACAATGCCAAGCCTGGAGTCAGGAAGACTCATCTTCCTGAGTTCAAATCTGGGCTCAGAGTTAAGTGACTTGTCCAAGGACACACAGATAGTAAGTACTGAGGCCAGGTTTGAACTTGGGAAGATAAGTCTTCTTGATTCCAGGCCTTGCATTCTATCCACCTTGCCACCTAAGTGCCCAAAATACTCTGAGATATCAGATAATGGAGAAACTACTTCAAAATTGAAGAGAATGAAGAAAGGTTTCACAGATATTAACTGACAGAGATGGGTGAGTTGGGGTAGAGGGGTAGCAACAGGGTAGAGGCAGAAAACCATGGGTTACATTCTTCCAGAAGACATTAAGTAATACAGTTTGGCTGAAGTAGTAAGTATCTAATGGGCAACCAGGTACAGTATGCCAGTACGGGGAGCTTGCGATCAGGTTGTAAGGCGCCTTGGAGGTGAAATTAAAGAGTCTAATCTTTATTCAGTAGACAGTGCGCAGTCTGGGGAGGAGAGGAGAGGGCAGAGGATTAAACCTGCATGCTGGTCAGACTTAGCTGAATACAGTGTGTGGGATGAAATGAAAACAAATGAGTCTGGATAGAGATGCCTGCTAGGTAGCCATTGCAACAGACCAGGTGCCAGTTAATGAGCTGCCTGAATTAGGAAAGCGTTAAAGTTATTAAGGTACAATAAACAGGGAGAAGAAACATGATTTGATGTTTGATATGTGAGAAGGAAAAGGACAAGTCAATGATAACTCCAAGGAGATGGACCTGAGTGTCTGGGAAAACGACAGTAATAAATGCCTTTAACAAATAAATTAATTACTAATAATAACTCGTATTCATGTAGTGCTTTAAGATCGCAAAGTGCTTTATATACATTATATCACAAATGATCAGTGGATCACACATTTGTTGTTGTTATTGTTCAGTCATGTCCAACTTTTCCTGATCCCGTAAGGGGTTTTCTTAGCAAAGATTACTATAATGATTTGCCATTTCCTTCTCCAGTGAATTAAGGCAAATCGAGGTTAAGTGACTTGCCCAGGGTCACACAGCTAGTGAGTATCTGAGACCACATTTGAAACTCAGGTCTTCCTGTCTCCAGGCTCCACTGAGCCACCTAGCTGTCTCTAGCCACAGATTTAGAGCCATCTAAATCACAGATTCAGACGAACTTAGGTCATCAAGTCCAAACCTCTCAATTTACAAATGAGGAAACTGTGCCTCAAAGGGATAAAGCGACTTGTCCAAGGTCATACAGGTATTAAGTGGCAGAGATAGGATTTGAACTCACGTCCAAATGAAGCATTCTTTTCACTGTATCACACTGCTTCCAATATTTCACTGGATCCTCAAAACAACTCTGAGAAGGTCTACTACTTTTGTCTCCATTTTACAAATGAGGTAACTGAGGCTCGGAGAGGAACAGGGGCTTTCCTAGGGCCAGGCAGCTACTAAGTTTCTGACATGGGATTGGAAAGCACCTAATCCAGCCTCCAAGCCCAGAGCTCTTCACTACACAATGCTGCCAGAGGCTCTGGGGGGAAGCAAGGAGCCGAGTTTTAGACACGTTGAAATCAAGGGGTTAAAAATGTTAGTCTGGCACTCAGCTCCAAAGTCAGCGCTTGAGTTGTGCCCTGGTCCATCTGTGGGCAAGCTGTAAACCTCTGACACCTAAAAAATCTGGTTATTCTCAGGAATGTGCCACAACAGAGTACAAAAGTGACATGGCATTTCCCTTAAGCAATCACTGAGTCTTCTGAGAAATAGAGGGGACAGAAGAAATCAAAGACTGCTTCCTCCAAGCCCTTCACTGTACAGATGAGGAAACTGAGGCCCAAGGAGCTTAACTATCTTGTCCAAGGTCACACAGGCAGTAAACAGGCAGTAAGCACAGAGGTGGTATCTGAACTTATGACTCCAGAATCAGTGCTCTTTCCAATGTACCCCACTGCTGGTGAAAGCTAGTCAAGAGTGTTCAGAGACTAAACCTGTCAGGCAGCCTGACAGTATTCCATGCATGAAGAATTATATTTTTGTACTGAGGAATACATATACACACAGACAGACAGACAGACAGACACACACACACACACACACACACATACTATTCTTTCTTTCTCCCTCTCTCTCTCTTTTACATAACTTTAATGAGGTCTTGAGACAGAAATAACAAAGGATCAAGGGGTAACTTTTCTTTTAAATAAAAAAGGAACAAAAACAATTTTCCCTATCAATAATACACTCTGAGTCTACATCATGACCAGATATGGGAGAAGGGAAGAAAGAGGAGAGAGACAGAAAGCAACAGAGAGAAGCCAAAATAATGAGAGTTTACCAACCAGCTGCTACTTCCTAAATCAACTTCTCCCTTCCAGATCTAAATCCCTATGCCTCAATTCCAATTCCTCAGCCACCTTTTGTTGGAAACCAGCCCTAATTCCTGGCCTAGCACTATAGCAGAGCAATCAATATTAGTATCTGCTACTGAAGATGATATGCCCTGTGTTGGACTTAAAAGCCCTGATTTCCACCCCAATTAGTTTCTATGGTCTAGAAGCTGACTACTCAGAACTTATAAGACCCATCATCATCAAAAGTATGGTCAACACCCCACTCTTGAACCCATCCTGTTGGCCTGTTATAGGGAGCTGTTCATCCTTCATAATTCTCGACTGCCCAAACCCACTGGATTATAAACTTCTTGAGAGCAAGAATCACTTCACGTATATATATTTTTATTAGCACATCATTCCCTGCTCCCTTCTCCCTGCCCCCAGAAAACACACCCCACTCTGCCACCACTAACACCCAGACCGTCAACACAAAAGGAGCTTACTAAATGTTACTTGATTTGAAATGATTAAATTAAATTGTGACCTCCTTGAGACAGGGACTGTCTTTTGACTCTATTCATATCCCCATGGCTTAGCACAATGCCTGGCACATAGTAGATGCTTAATATTTGCTGACTGATCTATTGACTGAAATGAAAACAGAAGACTTGGGTTCAAAACTGGCTCCTGTTTTACCAGGACCTCAGTTTCCTCATCTGTAAATTGAGGAGGTTGGATTAGATGACACCTAAAGTCACTTCCAGCTCTAAATCTTTGATTCTATGGAAAACCACCTCAGATGATCTGCCTAATATCTCCTTCTCCCACAGAGAGAACCTTGGGATTTTTGAAATGGAAGCACTAAGACAAGAATGCCCCAGTGCACGTAGGACAGAGAACCCTCATCTTACTGAGGGAGCTCTTCTCTAAATATGTTGCTTCTAACTCGCTTTACAACATGACCCTTCCTACCTTTCTCAGCCTGCACTTTACTCCCTCCACACACGCAGCTCCATTCACCTATTTGTTCCTTGCACAGGACACTCCATTTCCTCCATCCCATATCTATGGGCTCCCCCTCCTTACCTCCACCTCTTAGTTTCTTTGCCCTTTTTTCAGGACTCAGTTCAAATCTGACCTTCTGCAGGAGGCTCTCCTGGTCCTCCCAGATGCCACTACTGTTCCTTCTCAGATTACCTGCCATCTATCTACTTTTCTATATACCTAGTAACTTACATGTAGTCTCTCCCATTAGAATGTGAGCTCCTTGAGGGCGGAGATCGGTTTTGCCTTTATTTTTTTATCTCTATTTCTTAACAAAATTCCTTGTACAAAGTAGGTGTTTAATAAGTGCTTGTTGGCTGACTGAATGCTGGTCTAAGTAGGGAGAGAGCGTAATATTGCAAAAACTAACTCCACCCAGGGATTCCTTACCCCATTCTACCCCCTTCTCAACCTCCAGAGAAGAATCCAAAAAGGTGGAAAAAGAAAGAAAAAGAAAAGGATGAGATAATTCTTTTCTAACACATCTAGCCTAAATGAGACTGAAAGAGAAAGAAGAGGAATTAAAGATTTATCTCTTCATATTTGGTTGTATGTTCTTATCAGTCCTTCCATTTCTTAAAGAAAGATCCCCTTTATAAGGACACAGTGACTAAAAAATAAAGATATCTTACCAGTCACGGTTTTGTCCAGTCTGACTAATGATGTCTATCCTCACTTGACTGAGTGAAAGTGGAGAAGCATCAAAACTGCCAATCACTGGGACATCTGTTCTGAGCACTGAGTCCACTCCCAAATACCATCTCAGGAAACTCCGAAGCTGAAAAATTAAACAAGTCTTCACTGAACTCATTTTCTGCTACTGAGAGTAAAGTTAAAAAGAAAGACATTTGTAAAAGGCCTAATTTAAGAAGATTTCAGGCAGAGCAACAGAGAGAGAGAGAGAGAGAGAGAGAGAGAGAGAGAGAGAGAGAGAGAGAAAACAATCAACTAGAAACAGGGTTCTGGTTGCCATGTCAACTGATTACAGGAACAAACTCCAAAGCGACCAAAGGGGAGACATGCCCCCTCCCCCATTCACTGAAAGCACTTCTGCCATGTCTAGAAAGCCTAAAGAATGAGTAGCATTTCCCTGCCAGACCCTACATAGGATCATGCTCGCTTCCATTTTCCAAAACTCCACTTATGTTATAGACCCTCTCTCTGGTTGTCCTCTGACAATATAAATCCTACTCATGTTCTAGGACCCCAGCACCATACTGCCCTCTCTTCCCAAAGTCTTCCCTGGCCATACTATCCCCTTTTCTCAATGTTCACTGAGCTTTACTCACACTATCATCATCTTTATCAAAAAAGCTAATATTTATACAGCACTTTAAGGCTTGTTTAGTGTTTTATAAACTTTATCCTCCCTGGTGGGTAGATGCTACCGCTATCCTCATTTTACAGATGAAGAAACTGAGGCAGACATTAGTTAAGGGACTTGCCCAGAGCAAATAAGCTTCTGAGGGCAGCTTTGAACTCTGGGTCTTTCTTGACTACAACTTTGGTGCTCTATCCACTGTGCCAATTAGTGGTCTCTATTATGTCACTGCATACTGTCAAATGCTGTTTTCCACAGGGCTTTTTTAAAATATAAGAAAACCTACCAACTCATATTTTGCACATAGTATAGTCCCACACTGGCCTCTCCTTTATCAGCCTCTTCAACTCCCATGATCTCCACCGGTGTTCTACTTCAGCCGCCCACAGAGGTGATTCACATCTTTGACCTCACTATCACTCCAAGATCCTAAACTTTGAGATTTCCCCTCCTCCACAGTCACCATTGTCTATTCTTCCACCTCTCTCAGGCCTAACTCCAGTACTTTTCATTCTCTACCCTCATGAAAACACTCCTCCTTCTTCTCTTAATCCATCAACTGTCTTCTGATTTCATTTCCCCTCCCCTTGAGACCAGAAAGCCATTCCTACAGTGCAATAATACTATGAATCTCTTGTTTCATTCTCTAACAGTTTCCATCCCTGCTAATCTCCAACCCAGAATCAATCCCATCATCTGCTCCTTCCCCTCCTCCTCCAGGGTTGCTAGGTCCTGCTAGAATTAGTCATTTGGTATACTACAAAATTTCATGCTAACCTACCTCCAATGGACCCTCACTGCTACACCACATGGCACATACTAGCAACTTAATAAACACTTCTTAATAACTTAATAAATACTTCTTTCCTTCCTTTCTATTCATCTCTTATTGACTCTCTCCAAGTAGCTACTCCAAACGTCCTCAATCAGGCCAACAACTCTATTTTCACCTCCTTTTCTTTTAGCTGATGCCTTTTTTTACTTTACAGACAAAATTCTAATGTGAGTTTCCTTATCTCCCTTCCTCTACACCTAAAAAGCTCTCTTTTTCTTCATTCATTCTCACCTCTTCTTTCCCTTCCAGGGCTAAGAGATGCAACTGTGGCAACTAGGGACTGTGATGAAGAATCCCTGGCAGGTGTAGAGATATGTCAAGACATATAATATGCTTGTTGTTGATGAAAGATTGTGAGCCCCCTAACTGTGTCTACAAAGAAAAAATAGCACATAAGGCTCAGTGCTGCTTGAGGCTCCCCACTTAGTATTCAGCTCCCTGGAACATGACTTCCATCCCCATTACTCTGTACTGAAAGTGCTCTGTATTTTCAGTGGCCTCTTAATTGCCAAATATAGTGACCTTTTCTCAGGCCTCATCCTCCTTATCCTTTGAACAGCCTTTAACTTTTGATACTCTCACCTACAATGGGTTCTCTAACACTGGTGTCTCCTGATTCTCCTTCCTACTGACTGCTTCTTCATTGGTTTAGCCTTCTCTCCCTACTCCAAAGGGTTGGTGCAACTCAAGACTCTCTCCTTGGCACATCTCTCTTCTTTCTTTGTCCTGTTTCCTTTGGCAACCCCAACCACCTCCATGGCTTCACTTCGATGCACGCAGCTTCCCAGGCTGCTCCTATATCCTTCCAAATTTTTCCCAAGACATCAATGGACTCCCTTGCACATCTCCGCTAGTTCTTTATTTTCCTTCAAGAACCTATGCGTAACCTACTCATAGCTTTCTTTAATTCCTCTCCTTCTTCATCTGAAAGTAATCTTTTCCCTCAAATTTCTCATTACAATTGCCTGATCTCTCCTTTTTCTTTAATCATTTCACCTTCTATGCTATTCATTCGTGCAAACCACCATCACTACCCCCTCTGAAAACTTTATTCTTTTTAAAGGTGAGGATTTTATAATTTTTTTCATCTTTGAATACCCAGCACAGGTCTGTGCACACAATAAGAGCCCAATAAATTTGTGTCTACTTTCATCTCACTTGTTAGGCATTTGTGGAAACACTGCAAAGGAGACTGTGTGTAGTTCTCTGTGACTTCATATATCTATCAAGAATATAGCTCAATAAAATGTGCTGACTGACTGGTTTTCCCACAAATATATTAACCCTGAAAATAAGATAAGTGCCTACCATTTGCTCGACAGAGTAGTTGCCTAATAAGTTTTTAAAATACATGATATTATTGCTTGCTTGTCTAATTTTCACTGAATTTGGTGACAGGAAGATAAGAAAGGAAATCCTACTTCACATACTTACTCACTGTGTGACCAAGTATGGGAAAGTTATTTTAACTCTATGCATTTCAATTTCATCATCAGTAAAACTGAGGTAATAGCACTTCTTTTACATGGATGTTGTGAGGTTCATGCAATATAAAGTATACACAGGACTTTATAAATCTTGAAACCTAAATTTTGACTATTATAATAGACACACACATATATACATATACATACAAATATGTGTATATATATTTGTATGTACATATGAGGGGAGAGACAGACAGAGAGTCAAAGATTTGCTGCTGTTCAATAGTGTCTGACTCTCTGTGACCCCATTTGGGGTTTTCTTGGCAAGGAGATGGGGGTGGTTTGCCCTTTCCTTCTCCAGCTCATTGATGATGAGGAGGAAACTGAGGCAAACAGGGTTAAGTGACTCACCTAGGATCACACAGCTATTAAATGTCTGACACCAGATATGAACTCAGGAAGGTGATTCTTCAGACTCCCCAGGCCAGGCACTCTATTCACTGTGCCACCCAGCTGCCCAGAGATACAGACAACAGACAATGATATAGTGAGACTTACAGAGAGAGAGAGAGAGAGAGACAAAGAGAGAGAGAGACAAAGAGAGACAGACAGGTCCAGACCTGTGATTTCATGGATATGTGGGTAGAGATAGGTTTCTAGTCTGGAAACTACTTCTACCGTCAGCAATTCCCATTAATGTAAAACCTTAGTCTAAGTATAATCTTAGTCTATTTATCCTTAATAAAAGGATTTGTTCTATAAATCTTGGACTCAAGGGGCTGTACCCAAGGAACTAGAAGGCCACATGTGGCCTGGAGGCTGCAGGTTTCCTCTCTCCTCTCAGAACAAAAAGAGAATAAGCAGATTTGCCCACGGATCACACAGATAGTATGTATAAGACACAGGACTTGTACCTAGATCTCCTGGATGCCAGAGTTATCAGTTATGGCCAGCATGCCTCTTTCTCCCAGTTGTGTGTGTGTGTGTGTGTGTGTGTGTGTGTGTATGAATTATATATGTATGTATGTATGTATGCATTTGCATGCATATATGTATTATATGTATATATATAGTTATTTCCAATCTCCTAATCTATTCACATCGCTTGACCAAATAAACTGAGTCCATTTCACTCACAGACACAAAATTTATGAGAAAAATACACTCCAAACACAGAAGCAATAAAGATTATTAAAATTTTAGATTTGTCATCTAAATTTTTAGGCTCCAAAGTACATCATTTTTTTACAGAAACAGGAAATTAACTGTAAATATACCCTGGTCATCAGACCAGGGTCATTTTCTCAGCTCATCACAGACTCCTGTAATTTTAGAGCAACACGAGCCTTCCGAGACGGCTCCCCTCCTTCCACCTCTATTTTCTATACCAGCAGATACAGTGCAGATCTGTTCTAATTTATCTAATTTCAAGATGCCTTATTTTCACACCAGGAAAGCCAACCTTTTCACCTCAATACCAAGTATGAATGCCCTGGCAACACTTAAAGAATGTCTTTGAAGTTCTAATAGCGCTGTTTACCACCTGCATCTGGCTCATTAGTGCTGACATTGCTATTTGTTAAGTGTCCAGTATCAGCCAACACTGAATTACTAAATGACACAGGGCCAAAATAAATCTTTTGCTCATTTCTTCTACTCAGATATTAAAACAGAATTTGGTAGCATGGATGTGAGCACTGACCTCCAAAGATGCAGACTACAACTCACCCATCCCTGCCTGGCCATCTCATGTCCCTTTCTTTTCATAATTTTGCCACAGGAGGTCCACCCAAAGTACTGACGGCCCCTCCTGGGTTGAGGACTGATAGCTAAGTTTGTCACTTCAGTCCTGTCTGGCCCTTCATGATCTCTCTTGGGCTTGGCTTTGCAAAGATAATGGAGTGGTTTGCCATTTCCTTCACCAGAGGGTCCAGTGGATCCGTTTTGCCCAGGGTCACACAGTGAGGAAGTATCTGAGGCTGGATTTGAACTCAAGTCTTGCTGACAGAGCCCAGGGCTTTATCTGATGAGCCACCGGCTGCCTCTAATAGTCAAGTTAAGGTTTAAAAAGTGTTTGATTCTTAATACCTCCATTTCCACCATTTTGCCACACTCAGCCATGAGCAGTCACCTTTTGCTAATGCACCGAGTAGTCACTTATGCATTAGCAAAAGGTGACTACTCACGGCCAAGTT